CACAACCACCACCACAGCCACCACTGCAGCCGCCACCGCAGCCACCGCAGCCACCACCGCAGCCACCGCAGCCACCACAACCTCCACAACCACAGCAGCCCATGGTGTCAGTAGAGAGGACTCAGGAGAGGGGAGGATGGAGACTCAGGAGGTGAGGGGGGTCTGATGCCGCCCTCTGCCCTGGGAGCCCTTAAATACCCAACTAAGGGGCTTGGCACATGGTGTGTCGTCACTTCCTTGTTGTTGTTTTGATCAGTTTCCGTGGCAGATGCTTCCTTCCTGTTTATTAATACCCTCATTCATGTACATAACTTGACTTTTTTTTCTATTTTAGCAAAACTCACTTCTATTGCAAAAATGGAATCAGAACTGATGGAAATATTTAATAAAACCCTGCGTTTTCCCAGCACATCCACCCGAGTGCAGTTCTTTCAATCAGTGTGAGATGGTCGAAGCTGAGGAGAACCAGCTTCCCCTCCTCTCTCACAGATCAGTAATAGCCTCCTGGAGGAAGGAGATCTGACTCTAATTTTATCTATATTTTAGTCTACTCAGATACATTTTATGTACATTACCTCATCTAATCACCCTTAAAAAAACAGTAAATTAGATCTATAGAGTCTTTATTAAAATGGCTTTTATCGTCAAATAAGCCTAGGAAATGCTGAACATTATGTTTCCATTTGGGAAATTGGTACTAACATCCTAGAAGTAATAAGGAATCCTGGAGGGGAAAAAAAAACCCTTAAAAGCATCAGTATTCAGCAATAAAGAAATTTCTTACTCATCAAATAGGAAATGTAACTTTAAAAAGAACACCTTCAAAAGAGCAACAAAATTTGTAATAAAACAATGAATAAATCTAATGGTCTGCAAGATCTTTATGGAGACTATTATTAAATTTTGTGGAGGGACATAAAAAAGAAATAAAGACAGGAAGAAAGGGAGAAATATGAAGGAAGTCGCAATAGCTAAAGATGTTGTAAACCTCTTGCCTGGGCCAAGGCGTGTATGCACAGACATCTGGTAAAACATTATTTCTGGGTGTGTTTGTGAGGGTATTTCCAGAACAGAATTGCATTTGAGTCAGTAGACTGAGTAAAGAAGATCTATTTTCATATACCTGTACACAGAAAGAGAGAGAGGAAGACAGATAAATATATAGATATGTCAGGGGAATCAGTAGATAGA